ATAATGGGATTGCAGTTCACTTGATAATAGTGTCATGAAGTCTACAGCATAGTTTCCAATGGTTCAACAGTGTGGTGTGTGTGTGTGTGGTGGGTTGTGTGGGGGGTGGAGGTGGAGATACAGAGAGAGAAAATGAAACTGACAAATATTAATTTTCCATATCGAGGTCAACACCATTCAGGTGCTCACTACACTATATTCCTGAGTTCATTGCGGGTTTGACATTTTCCAATATTAAAGTCTGGGAGAAATACATTCATATCTAGGCAGATATTGCTTTGGGAGTACTGAAATCTGCAATGAGTCACTACTTCAATGCCTAAATTTAAGTGGTTCCTGTTTCAAAGACCGAATAGAATAAATATAATGAATAGTTGGGGTCTAAAGTTTTCACTTAAGAAAAGAGACCCAACAGTGGAATGGGGTTCAGTGTAGAAGCACCTGTTTTCTGGGTTCAGGTGGAGTAATTCATTATCTGAAGACTTTAAAGTCGTGAACAAGCCAGTGTGAGTACAAACTAGAGAGATGTTTGTTTGGGCTGTTAGTGGTGACATTGACCTTCAAGTTAGATACCTAACGAGGCTAAGGACATCAACCAATTAACACATGTGTAAGGGGCCAATCGTGGAAAATTATAATCACCAAAAATATTGTCTTGTGAGCTTACAATTAAGTCTATTATCTAATTTGAGTCACTAACTAATTTATTTGTATTCAACTATTGTGACCGATCGAGTAAGAGAAATAGGGTTTACAATCTGTTTCTTGAGATAGACCAAGACCATTCAATTTTATCACAATATCAAGTGGAAAATGATAAGCTTTATGAGTAAAGTGAGGAGAGAAGACAAGTTTTCAGAGAAGATTGATGTGAAGACAAGAAGCTCTTTCTTCTGCGCTGTGACCTTCCTGGGATCCTAGTTCCTCCTCGAAGCCTCATTTCCTTCCTGCCTCCGACCAGTGGAAATGAATGGGACAGGCCATTGTCTGACGCTAACACACTCCTCACACTCCTTCAGGGCCAACCCGGGAGCCAGAACCCCCATAGCAGGGAAGACAAATCCAAGTTTACAGATCCATCAGTCACAGAAAATGAGAGGGAAAGGAAATGACTGGCATCTACAACGGTGGACACGCACCAATTACAGGAAAGAGACAAGAGTATAGAATGACAGCAAGTGCTGCCAACACTTAAATATGTGATGAATGATAGAAAAGGTATCACTTCAAACATCAGCTCTAGTTCAAGACACATAAAGATAATGGAGGTAGAGCAGGTTTAACCTCCTCTGCCCTTACGTGCGCAGCATCAGAAACCACTTCCTGTTCAAATCTGCCACAGAAGATTACACCAAAGAATTATGTGACAACTTTCAGATCTTCTAGGATTTCCTCCATGAAGGTTTCAGTGTCTCAGCACTTGGCCTGTGAGTGTTTCCAGGTGATGGTCAACTGAACTGACACACGATCCGTCCTTGAACCGTAACCCTAAGCCTAACCCTAAATCTAAACCTAACTTTAACCCTAACCCTAACACTAACCCTAACCCTAAACTTAACCCTAAACTTAATCCTAACCCTAACCCTAACCCTAACCCTAGCTCTAACCCTAACCCTAACCCTAACCCTAACCCTAACCCTAGCTCTAACCCTAACCCTAACCCCCCTAACCCTAACCCTAGCTCTAACCCTAACCCTAACCCTAACCCTAACCCTAACCTTAACCCTAAGCCTAGCCCAGCACAGCCCATGGCATCGCTTCTCCCCCAGAGCAGAAAGAGAGGGCGATGAGGTCATCTCTTCCTCGTGTCACACAACAAGGGTTTGATAGAGCAACTGAAGTAGAAACATTAAAAGAAGATATTCCCTAAGTAGGTCATTGTTTCCTTAACTCAATCAGGGAAAACACAAAATGAGACACTGGACTTTATATAAAAGTAACGCAGGCGTATTGTTTCAGGTTGAACAGGTTTATTAGGAAAATGGAGAAGTGAGTCCTACGTGAAGGTCAAGGGCAGGACCTGTGATGACATCATTCCCTGAGAGACCTCCTGGGACCCTCAGGATGAACTTCCCAGGACCCCATCATGAGTCAGACTCAGGAAGGAAAGGTGGGGTGTCAGACCCAGGGGGCACTGGAGGGCATGCCTTCTACAGGGCCCAGGGCACGTGGCTTCAGTCTGGTGAACCCCGACGTCCAGGCGGGCGGGATGAGTCTCCCAGGTGTCCTCAATAGTAGTAGCCACAGCCACAGCCATAGCCACGGCCGCAGCCATAGCCACAGAGAGAGCGGGAGCCATAGCCGTAGCCACAGCCACAACCCAGGCCTCCGTAGCCACAGCCACAGCCATAACCACAGCCGTAGCCACAGCCATAGCCGCGGCCCCCATAGTAGTTCCCGTAGTAGCCACACATGGTGCTGGTGGTGAGGGTGTCGTTGGGTAGAGAAGGGCTGGAGGTGACTTCAGTCTGGACCCCTCTCCTCACAGGAGCCTTTTATACACCCTCTGTCGGGGGGGGGGGGGCACCACACAAGGCGTGTCCCTGGCTAATTTGCAGGACCCGTTTGGTAATTTGTTGGCTCCTGATTGAAGGCCTGGCCTCAGGGGACGCTGAGAATGTCCATTGTGGTTTAGCCACATCTGGCTCCTCTGGGGTCATTAATAAGAATGGATTGTCTCATTTTCAAAACCTGCTCACACAAGCTCCTCAAATTACCCATCTGTAACCAGCTTATGGCAGAAACGTCATTTCCCAGAGACACGGACTTACTCCAGTCAACCAACACCTTTGCCTCCTCTGGCTGATAGTCAACAGGTCATGAGAATCTACCTTAACCTGGAGTTTCTCCAGCACGTCCCTGCCGCTCCAAACCATTTTCTTTCCTTTAGGAATTCTCGTTTTACACGAGAGCTGGTTTACTATGAAAAGCCCGCAGCTATTACTCAGCCTCATGAGACGTTTGACCAAAAGGCCGTCGTTTGAAATTCTGGAACAGCAGTCCTGATGAAACGGAATTCCTTTCTCGCTTACATTCGTATTCCCTTTTATGTTTCTATATTTAAAACCCCAAATATTTTCCCAGTGGTTTCACATTTATATCTGAACCTACAGCCAGCAAATAGACACGGTGACACTTCATTTATGAAACTGCCCTTTCATGAAAGCGTTTTCTTTAAGTTTCAACATCTTTGCAGTCTTTGTGCTCTGGCCACAAGGGGGTTGAAGAGTGAACCTGGCAATGACACCTACCAGGCACCGAGTTGGCTTCACCAACAAGCCCGGGTCCCGGGCAGAGCAGCCCAGACGGTGAGAACCCTCACCAGGGACCATGTCTCTGTTGTGCCGAAGCTCAGAGCTACATTCAACGATCGAGTCAAGTAGCTTCTAAGCCAGGGGTGGGCAAACTTTCTGACTCGAGGGCCACAATGGGTTCTTAAACTGGACCGGAGGGCCGGAACAAAAGCATGGATGGAGTGTTTGTGTGAACTAATATAAATTCAAAGTAAACATCATTACATAAAAGGGTACGGTCTTTTTTTTTTTAGTTTTATTCATTTCAAATAGTAGTTTGCCCACGGCTGCTCTAGAATCACCCTCTGGGTTCAAGGCGTATCTCTGTCACTTATGGCTGTGCAGCCACTATAACCATGAGCCTCAGTTGCCTCATCTGGAAATGGGCTGATAACAACACCACCCACCCCACAGGGCGATTCTGAGCGTTAAAGGAGTCAGTGTGTGTCAGCCCGTGGAGCAGTGTCCACACACAGTAGGTTCTGCGATCATGTTTGTTCTTAAATTTGCTTCATCCCATCACTGTCCCCAGAGAGAAGCTTTCGTGCAGAGCCGCTGAGCGGGACATCAGAACTCGGGCGTGGCTCTGTCCTGCCTCAGGGCTGAGCATCTGGAAGGGGGACAAGGCCCTCTGGTTTCCTGAGAAGGAGCAAGGCCGTCGGTCACCCCAGACGTCCTGCAGACAGAGCATGCGGCGGGTTCCCACCCGATGGAGCGAGGGCGGGCGCACCGATTTCCTAGCCCAACCAGTGACCTCCTGGTAGAGAGCCCCGGGGAGCAGCACCCCCGCCCGCCCCAGGTGATGGGTGAGCAGAGCGGGGTTCTGCTGCAGCCACGGAGAGTGGAGAGCGGCCCTGTCCCGGCCACAGATGCCACTGCAGGACGGAGGGAGGCTGCCCCTCGATGGGCCAACGCCTCCAGCCCTGAGCACACCTGCCAGGGCTAAACCCACTGTGCGTCACGCTCTGTGGGGTCCCACGTGCCAGCTCTACTTCTCTCTGGAAGCTGTGCTGACGTCACTGACACAGACCTGGTGTCCAGGCCCGTGGGACAGAGGGATGGGGTGCCCACTCTGAGAGCCTTGCTGCTGTTTGATAAATCTCCTCATGGTTGGCCGTTTCTTTTTATTCTTTTTTTAAATATATTTTATTGATTTTTTACAGAGAGGAAGGGAGAAGGATAGAGTTAGAAACATCGATGAGAGAGAAACATCGATCAGCTGCCTCCTGCACACTCCCCACTGGGGATGTACCCACAACCAAGGTACATGCCCTGGACCGGAATCGAACCCGGGACCCTTTGGTCCGCAGGCCGACGCTCTATCCACTGAGCCAAACCGGTCAGGGCTGGCCATTTCTATTATGAAGTTCATATATGCATTCACGCACTCACTCATTCCTCCTTCATTCACTCACCAGTCAGCTCCTCACGTAAGCCAGGCACGCTGCAGAGTTAGGGTTAATGGAGGGCATCTATGTTTTGCTGTAAACGATGGGAAGTAGTATCTTGTTTTCTGGGTGTGTACAGTGTTTGATCGGTGTACCCCCACAGCACACTGGAATTCTTTCCAATGGCCTTCTAAAGCCACCACAGTCCACGTCACGAGAAAGAAGTCAAGTACCACTAAGACCACCGTGCCATCGAGAGAGTCCACATGGTCAGCACCTTGGACAGTGCCCAGGGCGTGGATTTAGCACCGTGGAAAGGGGAGGGCCAGGTCTCCTCCGTCCTCGTCCTCCATCCGGCGGCCACAGATCCCTGGGGGACAAGTCCGCCACATCGAACCCTCGGATGATTCCGATGAGGGAACTGGACAACGGTGTCCTTAAAACGATCCCATAGAACAGGGCAAGTGGCCGTGTGTGCACGGCTGGAAAGCGTCTTCTAGAAGGCGCTGCCGTGGACACACCGTCGCACAGTGCCTGTCAGCCGCTGGGACACACAGGACGCTGGCCAATGCGATTAAAAACACAACTCAGCTGTGAAAATCACGGTTCATTTAAAAATAAAGCCCTGAGCGTGTTCTCCTGCAGACGGAATTTATCTCTCCAGGCGGAGAGCTGCACGCGGTTGACCCCGAGCATAGAAACACCGGCCCTGTGCACGTGTGCCCCTCAGCTCTGTGTCCACGCGCCCACCCTGCTGCCCGCCAGCTGCGCCTGAGCCAGGTCAGCCCCGGGGCCGCGGAAGGAGGGGGAGGGGACATGCCACAGCTCGCCTTCCTCAGCCCCACGTCTAGGCCAGGGGGACTGGCCCGAACTGCGACAGAGGAATCCACAGCGGCCAACACTTCCTACCAGGAAACAGATAACAAACTGTCCGAATGCGGAGTCACACGTTAATGGAAAGAACACAAAGTCAGTGCTCAGTAGCTGAGTAAAATTGTAACCAAACGCAATAATCAAAACGTATTTAAAACAGGCAAAGGACCTGAATCGACACTTTTCCAAAGAGGCCGCACCGAAGGCCACGGCACGTATGGAAAGATGCCCGATGTCACTGACCCTCAGAGCGGTGCCCCGGGAGACATCACCTCACCCCCGCCAGAACGGCTGCCATCAAAAACCGACAAACAACAAGAGCTGGAGAGGATGCGGAGAAAAGGGAGCCCGCGTGCACTGCTGTGGGGATGCAGACGGGTGCGGCCTCGGTGGAAGACAGTGTGGCGTTTCCCCAGAAAGTTAAATATGGAACTCCCTTGTGACCCAGTGATCACACTTCCATGCATATCTCCTAAGAATCCGGAAACACCAGTCAGAAAGGCCATATGCACCCCTATGTTCATTGCAGCATGATTTACAATAGCTAGGATCTGGAAACAGCCCAAGTGCCCTTCAGTAGATGAGGGGATAGAAAAGCTGTGGTGCATCTACACAGTGGAATACTATGCAGCAGTGAAAAGGGGGTTCCTATCCTTTGCAACAGCACGGAGGGGCCTAGAGAGCATTATGCTGAGTGAAATAAGCCAGTGTGATCTCTAATGAGCAAATAGAAACAGCCTGGATCCATGGAACAGAGGACAGTTGTCAGAGGGGCAGCGGGGGGCAGGGGGGGCGGGACTGGATGAGAGAAGGTGAAGGGTTCAGCCACAGAGAAACAGGCATCACCCACAGACAGACAGAGTGTGGTGACGGCCAGAGGGAAGGGGCTGGTGGAGGTGGGTAAGGCGGGGTGGGGGCCCTGTAATAGTGTCAATAATAAAAATCAAGTTAACAATTAACGTGAGCATCAGGAACAGGCCTGTTTACCACGGGAGAGACACGTGCTTGCAGCTGTCAGTTAACGGGGCCACGCACCCCTGAGCATTGTCCTGGGATGAAAACCTTTCCCTCCGATGAAAGCCGTTCGTTAAACTTACAGACGCGGCTGCACACTTTCCTCGCCCGCCCACGCGCGGCCGGCCGGCTGTGTGGAAGCCAATGTTCCTCCCACGGACGCGGGAAAGCACCCCGAGGCCGCACACGCTCATGAAGGTGCGTGGAGCCGGCCGAGACGGTGAGGGTGTCCACCCAGCAGCTTACAAGGAGCGGGCGAGGCTGCTTGAAGGAGAGACTTTCTCCTAAAGGAGAGCGGAGATGTGAGGACAGGCGTCACCATAGCATCCACTGAGGCGCTCCCGTGGCCGAGGGAGGGAGGGACAGAGGGAGGGAGGGAGGGGGACTGGGAGCAGCGCTTTGCAGGTGGGTCTGAGCTGCCAGTCACCCTCGCTGTGGTCTGTGGTCGCGCCGCCTGCTATTAACTTTGCACAGAAGCTCCTTTGAAGAGGCGGCACCCACTCGGGGAGCCTTTCCTGCTTCCATGGGGAGCAGGAGGTGTCGCTGTGGCGCCCCAGGGGTGGCCTGGTCACGGGACGGGTGTGGGTGGAGCGATGGGGTTTTAAAGTCAACATTTTACAGCTTCTGGCAACAGTGGGTCTAGGTTCCCATGAGCAAGTGTGAACATCCGTGGACCCACTGAGGAGCCCAACATCGCTGGGTGTGCA